AATTAGATGCTATAGAAAATTTTCCTCGTCCTAAGACTGTAAAACAACTTCGTAGTTTTTTAGGTCTTTGTTCGTATTATCGTAGATTTATTTCAAAATTTGCGGATATAGCTTCACCCTTAACTAAATTGACTGGTGGAAGCAAAAAGATAAAAACAAGTCTTGAATGGAATGATGATGCTGAAAGATCTTTTCAAAATCTTAAGAATTCTTTAATTACAGCTCCTGTGCTTGAATGTCCAAATTTCAAAAAACCTTTCTTTTTGCATTGTGATGCTAGTTCTGTTGGTATTGGTAGTGTTCTGAGTCAAGAAGATGATAACGGTGATCAACATACTATTGCTTTTTATTCTAGATCTCTTAATAAGTGTGAACGTAATTATAGTGTGACTGAGAGAGAACTTTTGGCAATTTTAGATTCTATTGAACATTTTAGGCCGTATATTGAAGGAATGAAGTTTACCGTAGTAACGGATCATGCTAGTTTAAAATGGCTTTTAAATTTAAATAATCCTTCTGGTCGCTTGGCTAGATGGGCTGCTAGAATTTCACAATTTACATTTGATATAATTCATAAAAAAGGTTCTTTGCATGTAGTCCCTGATACTCTTTCTCGTTACGATATAGCTGCGTTGACTGTAAATTCAAATCAAATTGTTTCGCCTAGCGATGACATCGTAGATCCTTGGTATAGAAAGATTTTTGTCAATTGTCAAAAATTCCCTTCTAGATATAAAAATTTTAGAGTAGAAAATGATACTTTGTATAGATTTTGTAAATCAAAATATAGCGTTAATAATAATTTAGATTCGAAAATTGTTGTTCCAAAAGAACATATTTTGGATACTATTAGAAATAATCATGATGATTTAAATTCGAGTCATTTAGGAATTCATAAAACTTTGCATAAAATAAAACTACATTACTTTTGGAAAGGTATGTTTAATGATGTTCATAAGTATATTAATAGTTGCGATATTTGTAAAGCTTATAAGCATTCGACTTCTAAACCACTTGGAACTATGATTAATCCCAAAAAAGTAGATAGACCTATGGTAATGTTAAGTATGGATTTAATTGGAATCTTACCCAAAACTTATTCTGGTCATAAATTTAGATTATCTGTAGTAGTTGTTTTTACAAAATATTGTTGGTTATTTCCTTTGGCTAATGCAACGACTAGATCAATGTGTAAGTTCTTAGAAAAAGATATCTTCCTTAAGTTCGGATGTCCAAAAATAGTTGTATGTGATAACGGTACTCAGTTCACTTCTAGAAATTTTGTAGATTTTCTTAAAGGTTTTAATATTGATAGAATATTTTATAATACTTTATATACGCCTCAGAATAATCCAGTGGAGCGTTATAATAAGACGGTTGAAACTTGCATTTCTTGCTTCGTTCGTGATGATCATAGAACTTGGTCGAAATTTCTTCCACATGTTCAGTTAGCTTTGAATAGTAGTGTTAATTTGGCTACGGAGTTCACTCCGAATTTCCTAATGTTTGGTAGGGAGTTAATTGTTGATGCGTCATTGCACCGTTTTAGTAATTCTTTTGATAATTTATCACAGATCGATCTTGTTGACCGTTCTGCTTTTGCTCATTCACTTTCTTCACTTGACAGTATTTTTGTTAAAGTTACTGGAACTTTATTTAAACGTAATGCTTCTTATTATAACAAGCGTCGTGAAGTCACTTCTTATGATGTAGGTGATATTGTTTGGAGGAGGAATTTTGTCCAATCTAGTGCCGCTCATTATTTTTCGGCAAAACTAGCTCCGAAGTTTATTAAATGTAAGATTATTGATAAAATCTCTAATAACGTTTATGTTTTAAAAGATTTGGTAAAAGGTACTTCTGGTCGTTACCATGTTAAAGACATTCTGAAAATTTAGATTGCTTAGCTATTGTTTGGTTAGTTTTGTTAAACATAAACAAACCTTTGGGTTTCAGGCTTTTGTGTTGAGTGATTAGGTAGCTCTGAAAGTTGAATTTTTGCGTGAAGTATGTCATGTTTGCTACTTGTGAGGTGATGAAAGAAAGTGATATTACTCAATTACATTTGACTTTACTCATTGACTTTTTGGTTTTTATTAAATTCAAGTTTTGCCATTATATTATTTGACTTTGAAAATTATTAGTAAAATTTAAATTTACGTAGTATGCCTACTTGTTTTCTGCATCATAAGATTTTATAAACTTTTGTTGCGTGCAGATGTTTTATCTGTATGGACACATTTTTTTATTAGGATTTTATATGTCCTTATTTGTTATTTTTGTACAAACTTATTTGTTGGTACTATAGTTTTGTGGTGTTTCTGCATGTTTGTTGTTTTATAACAATTTGTTTTGTGTAGAAGTTTGTGTGTGTGATAATTGTTACACCCGGATTTGACATTTTGGAGCTCCCACTTTTTCCTTGGATTTGACATCCATGATTTTGACTTTTGTCGTTCAATATTTTTGACGATTTGTTTGGTTTACCACTTTGTTTTGGTAATTTGTTTTCCCATATTTGTGGACATCATTTGTTTTGTTTTTGCACATCATGTTCGGAAGTTCGGTGGTGTTGTGAAGATCATGAAGTTGCAATTTCGACTTTTTGTTCAACATTGTTGACGCTTTTTTGGTTTTGCCATATTGTTTTGGTTTTTTGTTTGGCCATATTTATGGACATCAATTGTTTGTTTTTGTGCTTCATGCTCAGAAGTTCGGTGGAGTTGTGCCGATCATGTAGTTACAACTTTTGTTTTGGGTGCTTCATGTCCGGAAAGCCGTTGGTGTTGAGTCGGCCATGAATGTCACGTTTTGATTTTCGCCAAATTTTTTTGCTGTTTTGACTTTCGTCACTACATTTTTTTTGTCGAACTGTTTGTTCTCGACGCCTTTTGCACATCATGTTCGGAAAGCCGGTGGTGTTGTGCCGACCATGATTGTGACTTAAATGAGTTAGTGTCAATTTTGCCACTAATCTCGAACTTTTTTTTGGGATTTAAATAATAGTACTTGCGACTTTTTAGTATGGCAGTACTAGGGTGGGATTTTTCTAGAGTCTGCGACATAGTTGTCTAACAGATCTCCCAAGAGTTGGTAGTAGGAGTAGATTGTAGTTTTCTGTCTGTGACCTAGTTGTCCAACAGACCTTCAGAAATTAATGTTAAGAGTTGTAGAGTAGTAGTTTAAGAAATTTTAGGAGTCTGCGATTTCAATATCCGACAGATCTCACAGGGGTTTAGGTTTTGAAGGAGTTTTAGTTTAGGAAATTTTAGAGTCTGCGACTTAGATGTCCAACAGATCTCACCAAGGTTTAGATAGAGTAGTTTGAATTAGAGATTTTTTAGAGTCTGCGACTTTTATGTCAGACAGATCTCAATAATGATGATGATAGTGGTTGAATTTTTTGTAGTAAGCTTTGCATGCTTTTATTTTAGAGCATTTTGCTTTAGGTTTTTAATAATTTTGGGTCTGTGACTAATTTAGTTTAACAGCTTTTGTTTTGAGACTTGTGACTTTTTGTCCAAGGACTCTATAGTTAGATGATGTTTTGGTATTTGGATAGCTTTATTTGAAGTTATTTTCTTTTCACTTTGGGTTTTCGTTTTCATCCATAATTAGGATATCGTTTTGGCTTTTAGTAATTGAACTTTAGCTGTAGTTTCTTCAGCCTCGATTCTCGATGCTTTATAAGGGTGAAATGTAACGTGTTAAAAAACGTTACACGGATCTCCTTCGCTCGAAGAGCGAGATAGAAGTTTTTTTTTGTTGTCTCTCTGGTCGTTTTTATCTCGTGTCCATTTTCTTTAATCTGTGCACTTTCGAATTATTTTGTTTCTGCATTTATCAAGCAGTAGGCTGTATGGACGTTGTTCTCTTTGCCTTCCCGACAAGAGAAAACAAACTTAAGAAAAAACTAATGTCACTTCTGTCACTTCACTTCACGACCAAAATTTTTACGTAAAACATGTAAGATAATTAATCTAAATTGTTTACTTGATAATCCATTGGATTGTCGATTGTTTTGAATGGTAAGTGTTTTTCCAAATTCGAAAAGTGTTTTAATTCGTATATTTCAATGATTTACATGAGGATTGATTTTGTTTACAGATGTAATATTTTAAACCGTTTGCGCGGAATGGCGGCGATCTCATTCCAAGCTTAATTTGTTTGTAAAACGGTAAGAACCTTAAGAGTTTTCCTTAGTTTTACATTTTTTCCTTTGTTGTGAGCCATGTGCTAATCTGAGGAATATTTATTTTCAGCGAAAAGCGTTTTTTTATTAGGATTTTTTATCTGGATTTTTTCATTCAAATTACAACATTTCCCATGAGGTGGAGGTGAACCCACGGGATGTAACAACGGCCATCCCTTACATATTTGCAACACCAGACATATTTAACTCCAAAGATGCAACGAGGTCGGTAATCTTCTAAATTCATAATTGTGTATCGGCCCCCATATTAAAGGTAACATTTTCACTTACATCTTGGTAGCTTTAGTATATAAAGTAGTTTCAAAATTTAGCAGTAACCCTTTTGGACCAGTAATTCTGTAGTAAATTTAAATAAATTGACAACCCAAAATGAATATGGATTCGCATTAAGCTCCCCTTGCAATTAATGGTCCATTGCTTTCCCGGCTAATAATATGGTACAGTCCAGGCGCCCGAATATTCTTTTTTAATTGATTTCGGCCTGTCCATTTCAAAAATTTATTATTAACTATTACAATTGTCACCATTGCTTTATATTTTTTAATATTACAAGTGCTATCGCATTCCAAGTCATTATTATGAATGTGTTCTACGGATCAAGAACTACGGCCATAGTCAGAGACTTTAAATAAATTGAACTATCAATTAAAGCTATATAATATATAGATATTATAGAAGATATTATCTTATTCTTTTGATATCACAAGAAAAAAGGCAGACACCATCAACTTTATAAACTTAAAAAATAATTGACGATTTTGACTACAGAAACCGTTTTTTCCGCCAGCAATGGATGGAAGGCTGCGAAGAGTATAAGGGTCGGTTGCCGGAATTGCCGTTGCCTCTGTTGGTGCGTAGTGCGACGTGCGTGCTGTGTGTTGGACCCGCGCCTTTGTCTTCCCCTGGACGCACGCCCGCCACTTCTTTGATCCTGCCCGATGCTACCCAGGTACGTAATAACCATAAATATTGTACGGGACGCCGGGCTGTCGCAGTAGCGGACAGTTACCGACTCGTACTGCGGGGTGGAGGAAGTTACACGCAGGAGTCTTGACTGTAGTGGACTGTAGTTTCGGCGAATAAAACCCCTGGTGTTCGGTATTGAAGAAATCGGTGGGCGTTGATAATGGATGGCCGGTGAGAGGAGGCTTCAGGTCCAGAGTGAACCGCTTGGTGTTTCTTCCTGTTCCTTAGGGTAGGAGCGCCTGTCGCTGAATGCATGTCGGAGCATGTTCCGACTCGAATTTTATATGCTAGGATTGAGCTGGCCAGCGATCCATTACCTCACCCACGCTATACTTTATTTTTCATTTTCTCAAAAATTACATTAGTGCGAGCTTAAAACTAATTGTACATACATCGGGCATACATATAGGCATATTTTTAACACAGTTATGTGTCCGTAAGCATGATATTTTAGGTGTGGCGCGCAAAAAATAGGTCTTCGCAATATTTATACTTTCCCCCTCCATAGGGCTTCGCCCTGCTACGGGGCTCCGTTGCCCCACCCGCGCGCTCCGGGCGCGCCGGGTGGGGAGCGCAACATGTCTTAGAAAACCGTTCTATACAAACAGATTTTGTCTCCTACACGGTACAGTTTTACATTTATTGATGTGATGCCTATTTATTTATGTAGTCCTATGCGTTATCTACCTAATACAACAAGTTTCTAATAAGAATATCAACAAACAACAGCTCTACGGCCCTATAAAGTTTACAAATTAAAAAGTCTTAAAAAACCTACTTACATTCACTTAATGCCTAACAATCATATATCATTTTATAGAAGAAGTAAAAACACACAAAACAACATCATTATCATTACAATTATACCTATATCCTATCGACTATTCGTAAAAAACTATTTCCAATATTTTCCTTAATTACGCCTAAACTACTAATATGATTTACACAAAACTTTGATATATTACTCTTATAACTACCTATTTTCTAATAAGACATAAAATAAATCAATCAAAACATAAAACATACTATTATCGAAAACTATCAACTCAGGCAAAATCTTATAAGATGTGAGACAAGGACAGCCTATCGTCTCTGTTTCTCCTATAGGTCGGAACTATCAACATTCTAACTAGTTTCCCCGCGCCACCGCTTGGCGTCGTGGCGATCGCTTAGACAAATTCTTATAAGATTGTTGGAGAGAACGAGACGGAATATCGCTCTGAACTATCAATTTTACAATGGTTTACTATGGGCAAAGCTATCTATTATTGCGATATCCGACTCATTCTAATAACACAACAAGGGAATGATATTTTTAATGTGTATACAACCGATACATGTGAAATCATAGATACATTTTATAAATCAATCTCATATTGTCGTAAGTTCATTTCCTCTCGCTTCGGTCGTCGCGTACATACTCCCGCCGTGCAGCGTCGGTCGACTCGTCGCTGCATCCATCTTCCGTGGGAGTGGCGGCCGATGCGAATATCACCAGTCGCTTGGTCGGTCTGCGTAGCACTCCTCTGGCTGTCTTCAGATCGACGACTCGTACTGTGCCGTCTCGCCCGGGAAAAGTGGCGATGACGACTCCCTTGGGTCACGTGTTGCGTGGCAGGTTGCTGTCGGCGATGAGCACGATGTCCCCGATGGCGATGGTCTTCCCGGTCCCGTGGAGCTCCCGCCGGTGTTGCAGCTCGGGTAGGTACTCTCGTACCCAGCGCGCCCAGAAGTGGTCGACGAGGCGCTGTGCTGCTCTCCAGTGCGGGCGGCCTATCAGGTCGCTCTCGTCGAACTCGCCCGGCAGTGGGACGCGCGCTGAACCTCCCAGCAGAAAGTGGTTGGGAGTGATGGCTTCGTCGTCTTCATGGTGCACGGACACGTGGGTGAGAGGCCGGCTGTTCACGGTGTATTCGGCCTCGGCGAGTAGCGTCGTAAGTACCTCTTCGGGCGGACTTTTTTCTTGCAAAACCGCACTTAGCGCGATTTTGACGGACTTCACGAGGCGTTCCCACGCCCCGCCCATGAATGGTGCTCTCGGCGGTATGTACCTCCACCGGATGCTGCGGATGCTTGCTTCTTCGCTCGTCGCCTGCTGCACTGCCTTCTTCATCTCGTTTTCTGCGCCGTGGAAGTTGGTCCCGTTGTCCGACCAAATTTCGGTAGGGCACCCGCGGCGCGCTATAATGCGCCGTAGTGCGTGAATGGCGGAATCCGTCGATAGTGAGGCGGCCAACTCGAGGTGCACGGCTCTTGTGGTGAGACATGTGAAGAGCGCGACGTAGCGTTTTTCTTGACGCCTGCCCACGGTGACTGTCAACGGCCCGAAATAATCCAATCCGGTGTACGTGAATGGCCGTCGGTGATGAGCGAGGCGCGTCGGCGGCAAATCTCCGGTAGGTGGCGACGGTGGCGCCGCCCTCCTTATGCGGCAGTTTATGCAACTGCTTATTATTCGTTTCGTGACGGGTCGAATGCGTAAAATCCAATAGTGTTGTCTGCACTCGTTGACTGTAGTTTCAACCCCGGCGTGGAGAAGGCTTCTATGTGTGTGTTCTATCCACAGTTGGGTGGCTCGATGGTTCCCGTCGAGTATCGCCGGGGTGTCTTCTGTGTTTCGGTCACTCCCGCCGCTGCGTTGACCCGGCTTCGTAGGTACAACACGCCGTCGTTGACTATTAGCGAAAGTGGGCGGAGTCGACTGTTCGTAGCGATGGTGGCGCCCCCTTGCAGTTGTTTCAACTCGTCTTGAAATGCGTCGTGTTGTATTACGCGAACTATTATTTTCTCTGCGCGTTCGGTGTATCTTCTGTCGATTGCGATGAATTTTCTTTCTTGAACGGTTGGCGTCGTTTTCTTCTTATGTGTCGGCGTCGATTTTCGATTTTTCTTCCAGTCGGGTTCCTTTTCGTTTTTCTTTCTTCTGTAGTTAATTCGGTCGGTTTTCGCTTGGCAGAGGTCGATGAACTGTAGTACTCTTGCCGTAGTCCGAATTAACTTGTCCCAGCGCGAAAATCGAGTGACGTCCGGTGCAGCTTCGGATATAGACGGCGCTCTCTTCAAGCTTATGTGGTGCACGCGTTCTTCCCCGGTGACTTCGGTTGCGGTTGCGGTTTCGGCGGCCCGGTGAACCATCTGTGGTAGCCGTAGAAGTCGTGCGGTGATATTCTCGTGGCGTCGTCTGCTGTGTTGAGCTTCGTGGGCACCCATCGCCACTCGTTCATGGTGCTGAGTTCTTCGATGGCGGCTATACGATGCGCGACGAATGGCTTAAATGAGCGCGATCCCGTTCGCACCCAAGACAATACTGTTTTGCTGTCTGTCCAAAATGTCTTCGATTCTGGTTTTCTTGAGTGCTCTTCTATCACGGTGGCGGCCATTCTTGCTCCCAGGACTGCGGCTTGTACCTCGAGGCGCGGTATCGACGTGACTTTGAGTGGAGCCACGCGTGCCTTCGCCGTGATGAGTGACACGTCGACTTGACCTCCCGGTGACTCGGTCCGCCAGTAGAGCGCGGCGGCGTACGTGGTGGCGCTGGCGTCCACGAAGATGTGCAGCTGAAGTGAAGTGGCTTCGCTGTATCCTATGTAGGCCCGTGGTACTTTGACGCCTCGTAGGTCCTTCATGTGTTGTAGCCAGGTCGTCCACTGCTCTGCGAGGTCGGTGTCGATTTTCTTGTCCCATTTTGTGCCGCGTCGCCAAATTTCTTGTATGATCTGCTTTCCCCTGACTGTGACTGGTGATGCAAGTCCCATTGGATCGTAGATTGACATCACAATCTTCAAAACTTCTCTCTTCGTGGGTGCCTTGTTTGCAAGTAGGTCCGATGGGATGGGCGCCAACTCGAGATTGAACCCCAATTCGTCCGATTGTGGGTTCCACATGAGTCCGAGTACTTTTTCTATTCTTGATCCGTCGTTGAGTGTTATCGGTCCCTCTCTTCTTTCGCCGCGCCATAGGTACCGCAGTGCATCTCTGTCTTCCGGTCGGATCCCCACGCGCATGAACATTTCGGCGATGTCGGCTGTCACGGCGTACTGGTGTTGACGGAATCGCATCATGACTCCTATCAACGATCGAAGTAGGTCCGGCCCGGTGAGAAGGCAGTCGTTGAGTGAGGTGCCTCCGGTCTTCGCAGCTGCGTCGTGTACGATGCGTAACTTGTTTGGCTTCAACGGGTTGATGACTGGAAAATGCGGCAGGTACCAAGTTCTGTCTTCTGTTGATGTCGGCGGTGCTCGCTCGGCGTATCCCTTTTCGATGAGCGCGTCCATTTGTTCTATGTATTTTCCCCTTAGGCGTGGATCGCGGTCGATTTTCTTCTCTGTGGTGAGCAGCCGTCTGTACGCATTTTCGTAATTGTTGGGCATCTTGATGTCCTCTTTCTTCCAGAGTAGCGCGGTTTCAAATTTTCAATCTTCTTTTCTGTGGGTGTGCTCTTCTAGCATCTTGATGACTTTCTCCTCTGGATCGGAATGCGGTTTCTTCTTTTCGATGTCGATCGATTCCAATGCGAAGTGATGACGAAGTAGTTCATCCATTTTCGTATCTTCTGTTTCTTCGGTGAGGTGGTTCACGAAATGAACCCGGTGACCGATGGTGCGCTTGTCTGTGCCGTGGAGTACCCATCCCAGAGCCGTCTTCGATGCTACTAGCTGTCTTCTATTCCCCCGGCGGACTTCGCTGGCCAAGAGTAGGTGCCAGTTGTCTTGCCCGATGAGGATGGTCGGCCGGGCGTCTTCATAGGTGACGTGCTTCTCGATTCCCCGCAGGTGCTTGCAGCCCCATAAGTGTCTTTCTTCTATGATTTGCGGTGAAATCTTCATTTTGTCGATGGTGCGTGCTTGCACCTTGAAGCCTCTGTTCTGTCCCTCGATCTTGAAGGTGATCCGGCGCGACTGTGTCTCTGGCAGCTTGGCGTCGATCGTTTCTATCTTCAGTCGCTCGGTAGGCCCCTCGGCTCCTATTTTCTCGGCGGCCCTT